AAAATATATATTTTTTAAAACATACAAAACTACAAAGCCTACAGTATTTTTACAGTCTTTATTTTACAGTTAAAATAAATGTTTATCAAATAAAGTCTAATGTTGCAACTAATCGGGGATCCCTTTTAAAAGTTGCAGTCCTTTAAATACACCACTATTTCAAATTAAATATTCCATGTCTCTACCAAACRTTCACTAACCCCAACCTGTTTGTGTCCTTTTATTGACAGAATACCAGTTTAAACAGAGAGAACCTCTGTCTTAAAAAAAACCTTTCTGCACTTTTACGGACAGCTCGGCTTGAAGTAACACGAAAAGATGCTGAGATTCAAAGGTTGACCCAAAGGTATGTTTTGTTACAAAAATACAGTAACATATTCCTGTTTTTATATGTGCTTCACAGTAGCGTACAGAGCTATAAAATCAACAAAATCCTTGAAAAATAAAGTTGTGGCAAGATTATTTGTAGCTGCGTGTTGCCATCTTTTGTGTTGTAAACCAGTGTTTTCTCAGTAAGGAGTACTGAAGTTTAGAAAAATATATCACGCTGACACTAAAACTTAAAGAAAAATTCTCATCAGTTTATATTTTCATAATTTGGTCTGAAGACAAGAATCTACTTTTAAATATTTTTAAAAGAAAAGTCATCAATTTCGGCTTACTTTGTTCTATTTCATTCATTTGTATATCAAAACATTTGGCTTGATTAAGAATAGCGTGTTATAAATTGTTTTTTGAAACTTTTATACTTTAACATAATTTAACTTGATGTAAAATTAACTTTTCTGCAGAAATGCAAACTCTTCCTTGAAAAACACTGTTCTTTTAGAAATCCACTCCAGCATACTTACTCTTAGTTTTCTTAGTTTTAGCTAAAGTTTTGCTACGTTAGGCTTTTATCTAATGTTACAGTATGCTCCTTTTTATTTTTAGGATCCGATTGGCTATTTTTAGCTACAGTTTTGATAAAGTTAAGCTTAATTTAGCCAACCTTAGCGTAAACATCTGTTTTGCTAATGTTAAAATTGTTTCTTTTGCTTTTAGTTTGTCAGCATACAGTCTGTTGCCAATGGCCTGTATTCTGCTCATTTTAGCCTGTGTTCTGTTTGTTTTTTTCTGTTTATTTTTTTCATATTCATGTATAAAGCGATCTTGAGCATAATGCGACCC